TTCGGATCTTGCGTTTTCTTGTATCTTTACCACATGCAGCCAACCTTTCGGTCGATTTCCAGTCGATTTCGTGCCCAGTTCGTGCAATGTGTTTTGCTATTTCGGATCTCTTCGTATCCATGTTGCTGCAGAGTCTTTGATGTTCCTTGATTCGTAGTCCGATTTTTCTTCCTGTTTCACAAATATACTTCTGCTTACAGTTGACCACAACCTCTTTCAATATCTCTTTTCCCTTTATTTTACTCTTTTAAAATAGTTTACTGTGTCAGCAAGCCTCAAACAATTTTTGTTGTCCTAACTAGGCTTTGCTAACTATACCACGCTGGGTCGATTATGGTTATTTGAGGACTGATCGTTGACATTTCTCACGATGATATGAGTACGCCTTAGGACGCCACTGTATCTCACCTAGCATTGCCTCTTCATCGATTTCGGAGTGCACTGCAGTTGCGACCACTGTGCGGCTAAGTGAAATTCAACGGCTCAGCGAGGTCTATTCATTTCATTGTGAGAAATATTAAGTATGAGTCCCTAAATCTTCTTATGCGGCCTAGGGCGACTAAGTACTTTTCATCGGATTATTAATTTCTGCTTTGACGTTAGTTGTGACTTTCCCTCAAATTAATTTTATTAATCCGGATCCCCAATCATTTGCATTGTATTTACATCCCCTGAAGCTAATTTAATCTCTTCATGGATGGAGAATAGCTGACATCAAGGCAAAAAATTGCAGAGATTATTATTTATAGTGCTGGTTCGGCCTAGTTTTCTCAACTTGGTTGCAGCATCAGGGAGACCTTGTGGAACGTACCTAGTTCTATGCCTTCTTCATAGTATTCGTGATTTCCAACATTAGACCATTGGCTTGGTACATTCCTAAACGTTTCGCCGACATCGTAGTCGGTATCATCAGTGAGGGGCGCAATCTTAAGTATACAGTTACAACTTATCAAAGTGACAAGTGGAGACAATCCCTTTGTCCAATTTTCTGTTCAACGTTTTGGAATGTACCAAGTCACTGGTCCAACGCTGGAAATCACGATTAGCATGCTAGAGGACGCGGGATCAGATAGCTTTTACAAGATCTCCCTGACACTGACCATGTTGCGAAAACGAAGTCGAATCAACAATATAAAGGTAAAGGAGACGGCGACCAAACACAAAGCCACACTAACTTGGTCTTCATATCTATGATTATTATTTATCTTCAGAAGCCAAAAGTAGTGCTAATATCCTTCCTTCTCAGTTTTACCTATTAGTGTGTCTTTTCAGAATAGCATTCATTTTGGGTAAAAAAGTCCTTAATTTCTAATTCTAAGCGAGAACCTTATATTCTGTTTTTCTATTCTTGAAATAATTCGTGTAAGTTTTAGATAGAGCTACTTCTGTCAAATGAAAGTAAATATGTCAGTTAATGTATTCTATTTATATCATTGGAATCATTTGTATCTGAATCTAAGAAAATGCCTACTAACTTATCTCTAATCGTATCCACTATTATCATTGCCAGCTGTTGTCATTCGACCCTCGGGACTACAACAGCTAGTCCCGATTGAGGACAACGGCGATGAAACGATCACTGTTCATTACCAGCCTGAGGAACGCGGAATGCATGAGCTGCACGTGAGCGCTATCACTGGTCCTCACAGCGCTGCTTCTGGTATCCAGGTCTCTGCGGTTTTCGCCAGTTCGCCAGCCGAATCTGGTGGATCTCGAAATCTTGTCCAGCTTCCTGGCAGTCCATATCGCTTCTTTGTGGACAAGAGCTGTCCGGGTCGCGTTTCTGCTTTTGGTCCCGGTCTAAGCCACGGTCAGACTGGCAGGCCAGCTGAATTCACAATTGTCACAAAAGAGGCTGGAGCAGGTAATATAAGTATACTCATGAAGCATTATAGTGACTTATTGCCTGCCCATTTCAAGCTTATACAGTGCCTTTTACGATATTTCTTATGTTACTCCATTCCCATATCATTTTACGTATATATATGGTTTTAAAAAAACAT